TGTGTGTGTGTGTGTGTGTGTGTGTGTGTGTGTGTGTGTAGATGAGAGAGACAGAGACAGAGAGAGACACACAGAGAGAGACAGAGACAGAGAGAGACTCACTGTGTAGCCTACCCTGGCTTAGAACTCCTCATATAGCCCAGGCTAGCCTTTAACTCATGATTTTTCTCTCTCAGCCCCTACCCCGTGGCTGGTATCACAGCTGTGAGCCACCACACCCAATTAGAAGACGTATTTCGATCAGTAAATTCGTGTTTTCCCAAGCAGTCCCCACACTGGCTGTCGCACTTGTCTTCTGTGTTCGAAGTATCGCTAACCTCAACCAGCTTTTGTCACCCTCCCAGGTTCGTCAAGGAAGGAGGGAGGAGGCTGTTTCTTTGGAACCTCTCTCCGCTAGCCTTGTACGCTTTCCTCAGCCCGTCTCTCTGGTAGCCCCTCAGTCCCTCTATCCACTGCCATAGCCACACTCCACACTACTGATGCCAACACACCACACACCGGGCATCTCAAACCCCGTCACCCAAGGACGCCTTGTGCAAAGACCTTCACTTCTTTGGTGAGGAAGATGGGAAGCTGGAAGAGGCGAGCTCTCAGATTGGCTTGCAATCAGCTTGGCACAGACGTAGAGCCCAGAACAGCAGGCTGACCAAGCCAGTAATCAGTGCCCCTCATGTGGCCTCTGCATCAGCTCCTTGCCTCCAGGTTCTTGCCTGTCTGGCTTCCTTCAATGATGAATAGTGATGTGGAGATGTGAGCTAAATAAACCCTTTCCTCCTCCCACCCAAAATAGTTCCCACCTCAGATGTGGTATTACTGTTATGCCCAGATCTCAGGGACCCCCAAAAGACCACCAGGGAGACTGAATCCCATATGTAAAAGCCAAGAGCCTTTATTTTCAAGCTCCGGGGCTTGGTCTCTCTGTCTTTCCCATGCAGCAGTGAGAGCAGAGAGCCCTGAGCCCTGGTGGGGTAGAGTTTTTATCATAGCAGCTGTTGGGGTGAGGGGATTTCCAGGGTTCAGGACCCTGATTGGCTGACATTTGTCTAGGGGTGTCTGTAAAGCAAAAATAGGTGTGTGCTAGACTCAGGGACACCTGGCCACCTTATCTAATGGTTGAAATGTTTGGGATGTCAGGTACTTCCCCTTAGATATAGGCCCTCCCTGGGTGGGGTCAGCTTATGGCTTTTCTTGGGTCTGGGAGTTGCCTGCCAGTAAGCCTGTCACAGAAGCTGTGTCTGGGCCTCTAAGCCTGTCATGGCAGCTGTGTGGCCAAGATGTTTTCAGGCCCCTCCACAATTACATGCCTGTAATCCCAGCACTTGGGAAACAGAGGCAGGAGAATTGACACAAGTTGGGGCTAGCATGGTCTATAAGCAAGTTGGGACTAGCATGCTCTACATATCTGAGAGCTATTGAAACAAAAACAAATGAACAAAAAACACCAACGGGCTGGTGATAGGGCTCCAGTCAGGAAAGAACATGTCCCATAAGTATGAGGATCTGAGTTTGGATCCCAGCACACATGTGAAAGCCTGGTACAATGGCATGTGTCTGTAACTCCAGTGCTGGAGGGGTGGGCATGTGACAGTGTGTGAGTGTGTGTGAGGTGTGGAGACAGATCTATCCCAGGGGCCTCCTTGGCCAGCCATTTTTATTGAATCAACAAGGCCCTGTCTTCTAGTAGAGGAAGACATCCGATACTAATCTCTGCCTTGCACACATGCATTTCCACAAACCCACAGGAACACATGCATAGACCACATGTGGGTGCATGCACACACATGCACAAAACCAGCCAACCAAACACGCAAACAAACAAAATAGTCCCTACATTTTAGGCCGTATTTTAAATAGTAACGTTGCAGCTTTAAGGGGCCTGTTTTCCATTGCCCATCTAAAGTCTC